AAACAAACAAACTCACTGCCATTGACTCAGTTCCAACTCATACTGACCCCCCACTAGGTTTCCAAGGCAAGCACCATCTAGTTCTTCTGGTCTCAGGGTTGTGAAGGCTGAGGTCCCCGTGGTCCATCATATCTTTGGATTTATTGTTTCCAAATGATTTTGATTTTCTTCACTCTTCTTTGCTCCAGATGAGGGGAGACCAATAGTTGCATCTTGGATGGCCACTTGACAATTTTTAGGACCCCAGTTGCTATACACCAAAATAGAATATAGAACAAGATTTTTATATACTATGTTGTGGCATGGCGTAGTGCCTAAGGCATTTCACTGCTAACTAGAAGGTCGGCGGTTCAAAACCAGCAGTCACTCCTCAGAAGGAAGACTGGGCAATCTACTTCTGAAGAGACACAGTCTTGGAAACCCAAGGAGGGGTTGCTATGAGTAGGATCTGACTTGACAGCAGTGAGTTGGTTTTGGTTTTGGTTTTGATTTTTATATTGAGGTGTAATCCACACTGTAGACTGTAGTCTTCAATCTTCATCAGTAAGTGCTTCAAATCATCCTCATTGTCAGCAAGCAAAGTTGTGTCATCTTCATACCACAGGTTGTTAATGAGTCTTTCTCCAATCCTGATGGCATGTCCCTCTTCATATAGTCCAGCTTCTCGGATTATTTGCATAACATATAGATTGAATAAGTATGGTGAAAGTATGCAACCCTGACGTACTCCCTTCCTGAATTGAAACCATGCAGCGTTCCCTTGTTCTGTTCAAACAACAGCCTCCTGATTGCGCTTGGTAGAGTGGAGGGTCAACAAAAAAGGGGAAGGCCCTCAACAAGATGGATTGACACAATGGCTGCAACAATGGGCTCAGGTATGGCAAGGATCATGAGGCTGCCACAGGACCGGGCAGTGTTTCGTTCTGTTGTACATAAGGTTGCTATGAGTCAGAGACGACTTGATGGCACCTAACAACAAGAACATGGTGTGCCAATTGAGCATGATGTCCCCTGAAACTCTAGGCCTACAGCCCCAGTGACTCTCTCTCCCTCAAGGTGTTTGGTTGTCTCTGAGAAACTACTCCAACTTTGTCTCTTGTTATTTCTGTACTCTCTACGGATATTTTTGCAGCACAAGCATATATGTAAGACTATCTTCAGCCAAATCTATCCTTGGTCTTGGGTACATTCCTGTTTGCCTACCCACACCTGATCTTCTCACCTATCTATGTATTCACCCATAGCTTAGCACTTGTTGCCACTTGTTGTTATTATGTGCCATCTAGTAATGCAGTATTTTTTATGTGATAGTATTTGCCTCTATTGTCTGTATCTTTTGTGTACATTTCTGTGTCCTCCTTTTCACTATTGTCATTGTGCTGGTTACACACTTTTGTTGTATTGCCTTTCCCTTCACTCAAATTACCTGTGTCCTTCTTTCCTATGCATTCCTGTCCTCTGAGCTATCTTCCTGTATAAATACTGCCATTCTGTTCTCCCATGGTTGATTGTTCTAAGGAGTGTACTTACCTCGTGTAAAGGGTCACCTTATACACCTGTCTATTGTTTGACTGGAAGCCACAGAAGTGAGTTCAATTCCAGGCCCAAAGGACGACTAGGGGCCATAGTCTCATAGGGTTCATGCAAAGAAGGTATTTTTATAACTGTGACCCAAATCTTTCATCTAAAGGAAAGCACACTGGGTCCAGAGTGAAAATGACTTGGGAAAGCACTAAAAACTTTGTGAGAGACTACAATTTTCTTGTTCACATTTGTCAGTTGGATGAAGCCGGGTCAAAGCAAAGACTTCCTAAGACTATGTGTATTCTCTTTCCACTTTATTCCACCACATTGTCAAAAATCCAGTCAAAAGTCCATTCAACACCATATTAATACATTCTACAAATATTAATTTAGGGTCTACTTGAACTAGGCCCTGATAACTTCAGAAGGCAAAAAATGCAGAGAGAAAGATTTAGAGGGAGAAACAGGGAGCTATGATAAAATTACCGGGGATGGTATTGCAGTGGTTAGGTGTTTGGCTCTAATCGAAAGGTTTTCAGTTCTAACCCACAAGCCACTACATGGGAGAAAGATTTGACAGTCCGCTTCCATAATGATTACAGCCATGGAAACCCCACGGGGCAATTCTAGACGGCCCTATAGGTTTTCTATGAGTTGGAATCAACCCCAAGGTAACAGAGCAGTGAGTTTAGCTTTTTGTTTCTTGTTGGTTTTTGGTTACTAGGGATGGAAGTTTCTTTAGAAAAGGTGATCTGGGAAAACTTTTCTGAGAAGGGGGCATCAATGGAACAAGAGCACTGACATTTCTTAAAAGATGGATATGGTGTGTGTGTCTGTATGCTAGCGTGTCCTCTTTCTTTCCAACCCCTACTGATGTTAATAGGACAGGAAAGAGAAGGCTTCTTTTGGGTTTTTAATAATAATAACTTTAGGATTGGAATCGTGCAATTCTGTTTAGCCCAAGAACCAAAATAGATTTCTGATACTCTTTCCCTACTTATTCTCCACCCTCCTCCTCTTTACTACTTAGGCCTTAGGCTGCTAGCATAGTGCCTAAGGCACTTGACTGCTAACCAGAAGGCTGGGGGTTCAAACCAACCAGCCACTCCTCGGAAGTAAGGTTGGGCAATCTACTTCCGTAGTAACACCTCCTGGGAAACCCAACGAGAAGTGGCTAAGAGTCGCGACGGACTCCACGGCAAATAACAAGTAGCTGTTAAGACCTCGCGATGGTTAGCTAAAACTAGGCCCGCCTCAAGCTCGGGATTCGCAGCTAATGCCAGGAACCCCGCCTTTTCTCTCTTATAATTCGCTACTCCTATGTTTATCCCGCCCCTCCGCCAAAACGATTGGCTCCATGGCTGTCCGCGCGGTTAGGGACTACAGAGAGGGTGCGACGCCAGTGACTAGCGAAGGGCAGTTCTAGGAGCTATGGCAGTCGATTTATTGGCGGCGAGGGTACGGCTCTGCGTGTTGGGATTGAGAACCATGCAAGCCCGAGGCTTCGGCTCGGACCAGGTATGCCGGCGGCAGCGTCTCCTGCCCAGCCCTGAGCGCAGCCTCCATGTCCCTCTCGGTATCTTTTACATTGTCCTTTTTCTGCAGTCGAAGGATTTCGAAGGGAGCGCGGGCTCAATCAGGGACGCTGGTGGGGCCTTTGGAAAGAGAGAGGCGGCTGAAGAGGAGCGATACTTCCGGTGAGGCCCACAGGGTTCCAAGTCCAACTCTACATCTCCCAGGGCTTTCCCGTCTGTCTTAAATTCCTCTGCTAGCCTAGGGCGCCCCAGCCTCCAACAGAACTCCCAGTCATCCGAGCCCATTGCATCCGAACACTTGAAGTCCCGTTGCCAGTTAAAGGGCGCTCCCAGGGCCCCCAACCCAAAACCACTTCCTCCACTGGTCTTTCCACCTTTGGCAGAACTCCTGTATCCATTGCCATCCCCAGCGCCTCGCTGGGACCTGCCGATCCGTTGAGCCTGACTCCCTAGTCCCTTGCCCACCTTTCACACCCTCTTTTCTCCCTACACGCCTTAGCTTTGCAAGTCCCATATGGATTCTCTTCAGAATCTTTCGACCCTTTCTAGACCCCCGCCCTCTCCAATTCGACCAGACTTTTGGTCATAGGAGCTTCAGGAGCACTTGCCCATAGTTGGACCTCCACCCCTTTTTGGAGACTGCAGCTGACCAGAGCCTGGGCTGTAGATTTTCCACTTACGTTTAGGAGTAGGAAAAGAGTAGGCTGGGCCTATCCCTTTCCCAACCCTATGTTATCTTTAACTGACATTTGTCATACTGGGGAGGAACTTGGAACTGATCTTGCTTCTCCCTTTCCTTTAGCCTATCTGTTCATTCTGCTCTCTGTTGCTCAGTCCTAAGAATTATCACCATGGCACCTGCCATACCAGCAGGCCAAGATACTGCCATTGTTGTCATTGAGTCAGCCCATGCTGACTTTATGTAGAAGGAAACATTTTCAGTCCTGCACCACCTCCATGATCATTGATATGTTTGAGCCAATGTTGTGTACCACCCTTAGAAATTGTATAAATGGGCCTTTATATTAAATTTAAAGTTAAAGAAAACCAAGGCCTAAAAGTGACCAACATTAAGACCTAGATTGGACTGCACAGTACTACCTATGCAAGCAACTCCAGGGTTCTTTTTGGCCTTTACAATGGACCATATAATTTTCTAGTAAAGAGAGCCCTAAAGAAAATTGGGATAGAAGGTGGGTATTTGGCCTGTAACCATACTTTTTTTGTTTGCCTGCCCTCCCACCCATTTTGTTCCTTTTTGCCCCACAAAGGGACCTGGGTTCCCCAGGCTTTTTTTCTGATAAGGTATTGGGGATTTATGTCACATTTCTCTGGAGTTTTCTACTCCAAAGAAGAATCTGAAAGGAATAGCTCTCTAATGATGGGATTTCAGACATTAGCACCAGGAAAATGGAATGTTTTTGGCCATTTCCTTAAGGTGGAGGGGAAAGAGGAGAATGACCAGCTAAACTCCCATGGGATTGGGACTCATTTTTTTCTGCCATAGGTATTTTTGAATAATGCTTAGAGGTCCCCTTGGGGTGATAGATTGGGATTAAACCTAGCGATACTGTGTCTTATAGAGCAAAGAATAGAGAGCAACTGGAAGCCTTGAAGAAACACCATGAAGATGAGATCGTTCATTCTAAGAGGGAGATTGAGCGTCTGCAGAAAGAAATCGAACGGCACAAGCAGAAGATAAAGCAACTAAAACGTGATGATTAAGCACACACTGTTTCCCAGAGAATGCTACATAATCACTGTCCACTTCTAGTGGACACAGTCTACTTTAATTAATACTGGTCTGTGTGCTGCCAACAAATTATAATAAATGTCATCAGTGAACTGTGTTTGTTGCTTTTTACTATCTGGAGGACAGATACTACTGGGCTGCTAAAACGAATGGCCAGGGTCCCTGCAACAGGGAGCTCACAGGCGATTACAGCACTGGTAAACACAGTGTGGGCCAGGGAGAGGCAAATGTGACACAAGCTTGTGCATGCCCACTCCATCCCAAACTGTTCAGAGAAAGCTTGAAAGATGAACCCCAATCCAAGGCATAGAGGTCAAGAGCAGCCTGGACAGAGTGCATGGGAGGGAAGGACACAAGGAAGAGGTAATTGGGGAGGAAGTGGGAAGAGATCTGCTGCAGTATGTGAACTGCTGTATGGAAGATTAATTTGCTCTGTAAACTTTCACCCAAATCACAATAAAAATTTAAAAAAAAAAAAGCAGCCTGGACAACAGAGGGGAATGATTGCTTAAGAAGATGCAATTCAAGGTGCTATCCCTAATCACATCATTTTGTAATTAAAATGATTTCGAGAACTCTTCATATGACCTTATGAACTAGGTGCCATGTTCTAATTTTATAGATTGAACTAAACTTAGAAATGATACATTGCCTATGGTCACTCAATATGTTGCAATTGAGAATTGTATTCACGTTTTCTGACTCCTAATCAAAGTCTGCTAATAACAAGGAATTATTTTTAAGGTATGTTTTGGTTTACAGGGAGCTCTGGTAGCATAGTGGCTAAGGCACTTGACTGTTAACCAGAAGGCTGGTGGTTCAAACCCACCAGCCACTCCTC